AAGTTGTAGAGTGAAGGAATATGGATAAGCTTGTCTGCTTGTAATTCATTCAATCATAAACTAGGATCTAGCTCACAAATGTCCTCCCGATCGATACCAGACCTTGTCGAAGAAGATAAAGGGTATTTTGTTGGCTGTAGAATACCTTGTTTTGACTTTCTAGTAGGCGTATGAAGAGCAATCGGCGGGGTGAGACGCAGGACTTCGTTCCTTTTTGCTATACCAGCATCTGAGTAGAGTTCCTCTCCGGCCCCAGTTCCTTTATTATTTCAACTTTCTGGAAATAGAAAGCGAATTCGCTTACGTAGGGGTCATCTTGAATGAAATTTTCTAATGAATAGAATTACTTAGTCAATGTTCAACCTGTCCTGTCAATGAGCAAGACTATAAACAACAAAGCTAACTGTAAGGCTTTGTGGGTACCGTGCTGCATCTATCCTTTGATTTTCTTTTGGTAGCCCACATATAAGTTGTGATCATTTTTTCAGTGAATCTAGCGAACTGCAAAGCATTGCTTTGAAGAAAGTCAGTCAGAAACGAAAAAGATGAACTTTTACTTGAAATCGAAATTTGCGCCACCACTACAGTTAGCGAGGACATAAAAGAAACCAAAGACCTCCCATGTAATACCGTTCACTTCGCGATAGGTGCAGATGCTAACATAGCTTCCTCGTCTCGCTTCATATTCATGAGTCGGGGGGCCTATGGCCTAAGATCCTGCAACTTCTTTTTGATTATTAGGTAGAGTCAATCTCTAGTGCTTGGGGTTTCCTTCATTCATGGGCGTGGTCAATTTGAATCAAAGCAAGAAATTGCAGGGGAGTCCTATGCATTCCGATCCCTGAACTTTGGGTAGTGGAAGAATCAGAAATGGGTTCGACTTGCATGTGTAAAGCATCTAGCCAGATCATTGATGGCTTGGGTCGAAAGATTGATTCCTATTGGACAGGCGGACTTCTCTAACGATTGGGCAGGCTTTCCTTGTATGGTAATCCTTGTCGGCTTTTAGTGTGAATGTTTTTTTCTCCTTTTCTCCCTGTCTAAATTCATTCACCAGTCAACGTTCAGCTTTGTTCATCAACCAATCAATTCCTTGCTCAGCATCCACTATATCTTCGGTTGTTCATGGGTTAAAGGAAGTGCCCCTGATGATGTGGTTTCTTAAGAGAATTCAAGAATTAAGAAAAGATCAGATAATGGGTCGCTATGAGGATTGCTAAAGAATTGGGTACCGAACCAAGCTGCAGACCAATGAATGGAGATTCCGAGCCGAGTGAGTCATTTTCCGGCTATAGCTAGCTGCACTTTTTCGATCTTGTACTAAGGTTCCAATGGCCCATGTTAAAAGGCAGAAACCATCTGCCTAGGCGAGTTGATATCAACAGCTATGGATCTGAAAACGGGGCAACGGGCAGCTTATCTGCCGCTTAGCTTTCTTTTACCAATCATATTCAACAAGAAAACTAGCGATTTGATTCCGGGAGGAATAACCATTGAATGGGTTTGGGGTTGATTGTTGATAGTCTAAGATCCTATCTGAACACTATACGAAGGCAACTCAATTGCTCCAAAGCGTGAAAGCTTATTGACACAAAAAGTAAAAATATGACTTACTCTCTTATAACTAAGGAATTAATGGCATACAAGCATTCCCTGGAACCGCCCGATCCATGGATCGAAGAAGCAAGAATCAAAATAATCCCAAATGGTCTAAAGAACGAAGTGCAATGGACGTGTCTCCATAAACCAACCATCTTTCTACTCTCTATTTATTGCATAACTGAACCTCAAGCTCCCGAGATGGACTATCACTTCCTATCACAATCCATTTTCCTTCTTGTTCATCAATCGGCATAGCATGTTCGAAGTGATGAGACTGAGCTGAAAACGAGCAAGTGTACCAAGCCAAAGAAGATGATGTTGTTCGTCGAAAGAGAAGCTTGACGTTGTGATGGGACCGTACCAGCTAGCTAACGGATTGAGTGGGAGGAGAAGGTTAGATAGAATGCCCATCCCTAATTCCCGTGTCACTTCTATAAATGAGAATATTGTTCTCTTTTTTCTCAGTGGTAAATAAATGCTCCGGTCGGTATTACGAAGCGGCATTTGACACATTTTCATTATTTCCTTGTGGTGGAACACCTTATATAGGGCCCTCTTTGTCAATCTCATCTCGTGCAGAACCCTACATTTCTAAAAGCAAGCCCAAATGAATGGAACTAGAGCTTGTGCACTTCGCTCATGAACATCATTAACAAAGGAACTTGACTCGCCGAATCCTGTCAAGTGACATCAAGAATGCTCGTAAGATGCTTCTTTTAAGGAAGCCCGTTCCCGGCACATCAATCAAGTCTCTTTCTGAGGTTGACTTCCTTACTAACCCGATTCTTCGCTAGCTCTTTCAGTAGTTCGAGCTTGCCGGAGACTGGAGCCATTCCGAAGAGAAAGAGATGTGACCTGTTAAGAAAGAAAAGCCACGCCACAGACTTGTTACCGACACAACTGATGTGCAATGCCTTCATGGTCTTCTTTTTTTCCTCTCGCAAGTTGTTCTTCTATTCAAGAATGCCCCGTCACTTAAAAGTCACCCGGCTCCCTACTGGCTTGAGGCTTTGACAAGGAACTAGCTATAAGGGTGAATATTATGTTCAGCAAATGGGGGATTTGACACATGGAATGAATTATTTTGAGCATTTTCATCTTCCCCGGCTCGGAAGTCTAGTTGATCGATCAATTTACCATGCCACCAGTGAGTGGTGGCTAAAGCTTACCCGATATGACAATGACAAGTGAATCGAGCGATGCGCTCCAAGTCAAGGCTTCATCTTCCCTCAAGTTTATGATTTTGATTCTCGTACAGGGAGAGGGGATTCGCCAATAGAAGGTCACGCAAAAGGATCTAACGAGAATCCTTTTTCTTTATTACTATACCTAAGAATTGGAGGAAGTAGGTCTGCAATCTAGTAGAAGGGCGGAGTCCAACGCCAGCTCGAGCAGAAGATCTACAAGAAAGAAGGAAGCATTCGCTTTAGCCATTCATAATGGCTAAAGGGTAACTTGGAGTTTAGTCGCTACAGAAGCAAGGTAAAGCACTTTCTAGACTAAAGTCAAACCAGTAGCAGTGCCATGATCCAATACTTCGTCTCTACCACTCGAGTCTTTAGCTGTCTTCTTTGAAATTGTAAGAAAATGGGGCTTACGTTTTGAAGCTGCATTGCACTTTAGCATAAACAATGGATCTGCTGGGCTGGATGAGAGCAACCTTCCCTGGAAAGGAATAGTGAAAAGCCATGTCACTTGGAACGGAACTGGTTGCTTACTAACTTTTAGTAAGACCACTTTGGTAAGCCAAATTCTCTTCTATTATATAGGCATGGTTGCTTACAAGACAATAGCTAGCTTCAATATGTTCTTCGCCTGAACATAACATATAGAAGAAGCAACCTTCTATCTGGCCTCTGTACCAGTATTGGAGTGGCTTGCTACTTTCAATCAGAAAATGAAGATTGAGCAAGGCAAAAGAGAAAGAAGATGTCCCCTCTTCTCTGCCACCGGCCGCATATGTAGAAAAAGAGGGAGCGGGGAAGAAAGAACAGCCGTTTGACTTTGATGAAGTGGTGGGTTTGGTGGCTAGGTAACATAATGGAAATGTATCGGACTGCAAATCCTGGAATGACGGTTTGACCCCGTCCTTGGCCTCCAAGAGTGGTGAGCAGATGAATCAATCAAATGGCATAGCATAGTATTATGGGGCTTTCCTTTGTTAGAAATCCACAGACAATATTCTGGAACTTCCAAACCAAAGAAATGCAATATAAGAAGAAGTTTTTTACGTGACGCTTCAATAGAATGAATTCGGTCAGGGTAGAGCCCTATGGTCGATCGAGGGTCCTTGCCACTTGAACTCCAATCTATCTGACTTTCAATCCATCTTTGTCCAGCCAAGCCAGCTCATAATAAAATGTTAGACCAATCAATTTCAGGACTGACACAACCGAATTGGTTGAGGAAAAGGAAACCCCTGCGACCAAGCACTCCCGCCCCCAAACGCGGAAACCGAACAACCGCCAGGGGTTTTGTCTAGGGCACGTCTGAAGAGGAGGCAAGCGCCCACTAAGTTGACCACTCCACCCATTACTGGACTATGAGGGGAACAGGTGAATGGGAACCGACCGAGAAAAAACCCGAACCGCTTGACTGACCCCTGAATACTCTATTATTAGGGTGGGGGATAAATAAAACCGATCAGAAGTGCAAAATCGCACAAGCGATGCCAGGAAAAGGACCGCAGCGCAACGACTAGGGCTTGTGTCAGAGGAGTTTTGAGCGTGAGCTATCATTCATGCAGCGGCAAGGCCTCGCAACTCTCAAATCACTGTAGCAAAGCCTCCCTTTACTCAATGGATAGCCTTTATGAATCTTTCAAAAAACAAAATGATCAAGGGGGAGAAAGTCGTTCTGATTGCCATGAATGTTGCCCTCGAGGACGTGTACAAGAAGGTCTTTGCCGATTCCTATCAATATGGTTCACCTCTTAGTAGAGGAGTATGAAACCGCCGTGGAGACTTTGACCGAATGAATATAGATCAATTGATAGACATTTTGATTGAGGAAGAGAATCCAAGATGAACTCTTTTTTCATTCACTATGTGCTGACTTACTGCGTACTCTAGTGATCAATCAATGGACGGGGGAAAATAGCGTGAATGACAAAACCGGCCTAACCTAAAGTCAAGGGCTCTCCCTCCAACTCAAGCACGAAATGGGAGTCCAAAATAATCGAGAAGGGCACCACCGGGCGAGATCGAGACCAGACCCTTGTATAGGAAAGCCAAGCTTCCCTACACTTCTTCAAATATCCCAACAATAATAGAGATGGAGGGGCTTTTTCGGCTTGATCAGAATCGATTCTATAATGGAATAATAGAGTGATGAACTCATTTTTGTTTGGTCATAAGTTAGTCCAAAAAATGAGAGCCGGCTTTCTATAATGGAGTTCTTCCTCAGTAGCTCAGTGGTAAAGCGGTCGGCTGTGAACTGACGGGTTGTAGGTTCAAATCTTGCTTGGGGATCATTTCTAGTTCTCGCTTTTCTGATCTAGCGACCCTTGTCCTTGACTGTCTTTCTAAACTAACAGAATCGTGGGACATCAAAAGCGGGAAGTTTCTTGTTGGTTTTGATTATTCACTCTCGTATAGGTGTGAACTTGGTTCGTTCCATTCTTAGGCAGAAGAAGGATCGATCTTAGGTAGAAGAAGGATCGACCAAATGGAGAGGAAGACTGATGGGAGTAGTATCTTCATTAGCCGAAAGGAATGAGTCTCCACTAGCGTCATTCGAAGAACGAACAAGAAAAAGAAAAAAATAAAATAAAATAAAGCGGAATTCCTCAATTCAGAGATAGATCGAGCACAAAAGAATGAAATGCTAGGTCAAGCAGGACCAGTTCGCAACCCAGCCTTGTTGTGAAGTATGTTAGAGAGGAAAGATCACTCACTGCTAAGCTAGTTTATGAAGTGGCACGGAACAAGAAAAGAAATCCCATTAAATGAAGGATCATCGGTGCAAAACAAGAGCGAAAAAGATAAGCAAATGGAGCCCAAAAAAGGAGCTTTTGGGAAGCAAATTTCAAGCCATTTCCAATGAAAGAAAACTAGATCGTTGTATACGAAATACCTAGGAAAGATGTCCAGAAGATAGATCAAGAATGTCTATTCCAATCGAAATCGAAAGGAATCAAGGAGATCAGAAGCTATATCACACAGCCAGTTCACTCATTTTTCTGCTATATGAGATCAAACGATTGCAGTTTTTTGTTCCTCTTGTTTAAGAAAAAGCAGGTGAGGCCCAAAACACGGGGTTTCATGGAAGATAGCGTTCATTGCTCTTTAATACGTTGCCCCGGCATTCTTCCAACTGAGAGGGGTCTTACAACCCGTTTAAAAGTCTCAATCGAACCACAGGTATCTAAATCCCCGTCTTCGAAATATCTTCTTCGGCAATGTATATTTGGTTGTAACCAGAAGAATGCCCATCCATAAATGTGAGACATTCGTCTAGGAGGCTGTTTATAGGGCCGATAACCATCTTTAATTGGAAACTTATTTGACCAGTTCTCTTGCTAAACCAGGAATATCTTCATATGTCCAAGCAAAACCTGATTTGTATTCCGTTAGCATTACTATCAATGATTCTCTAAAGTTTGACGCCAACAGCCCACTTACATAAGTTGGACGTGGTTCATCTTACATCCCCAAGTTCATGTAGTTTTTGACTCGTACTCTATGTTTTCGGTCGATCCTCCTAATCAAGATCAGCAGCTGAGGAAGAAGTGATGAACACTAGTGCGGAATCACCAACGGCAGCAACGTGAAGAGAAAAAAGTAGCTCCTAAGCTTCCTGCTTTTCTATATTGATCTCGAGTTTGTTGATCTACTGTCTGAACAACAAGAGAGTGGAGATTGTTTCATCTCAGATCCATTGCTCATTAGTCTCCCTATAATTTGGAATGAAATGAAGAAAGAGACTCGGTAGGGAAACAGCTCTTGACGATCGTAGGATTTGCTTCTATAGGAGAATATGAGTTCCAACAACTAGATATAAGAAAGCTCCTATGCATGTCACATCTAGCAAAAGGAAGTGACCCCGTAACAATAATTCATAGAGTTGATAGGTATTCTTCTTCGCATCTCTTTCCATCTCATCCATTAATCAAATCGTCATCCTGATCTCGCTATCTTCTTTAGTCCTGTGATCGCAGCGAAGGTGAGGGAGCGATCGGAAGCGCTGGCTTATTCTTACTATACGATAGCACGCATCAAATGAGCAATAGGGCGAGTATCCATCCTCTTATTGGAGTCTCCCCGCTATTTTGCAGTTTTTTCTCTTCTCTGTATTCCATGTAAGTAAGAAAACAATTCGGCAAAGGGGGCACCTGGCACTGCAAACAAATAGGGATCATGTGCAGGCAGATATAGGCTATCCCTACCTAAACTGATTGCAGAAAGAAAGAAGTCCATCAAGGCTAAATCAGAATCATCATCTCCGTTTCCCCGACTCAACTGGACTCCTAATTCTAGCATCAGGGAAGGTTTATTCATAGAAAAAAGAAAAGATGAGATGCCGAATCTCAGTTCAAAAGAGCTTCTAAAGTTTGTGTTCCAGTGAGTCAACTCCAATCTGGAGTGCCCCTCTTTATCTGCTGGCTTGACGCGAAGACACAGAACTCGCTATAATAAGAGTTGTTTTGCCTCCCTGCGCCTTTTACTAAATCAAAGATCAAAATGAGTTGCGCTAATCTTCATTGAAATGGGGGAAGCTATAGACCTCACTATAGAAGTGATTTTTGAAGTCCAATTATGCGTTGTTTTGCTTCCCTGAGCCTTTCACAAAATGGATTGGAAATCTTCCTCCAAATCTATCTTTTGATTCTGAAGGCTCCAGGCATGGTATCGAGGACTCGCCCGAAAGAAAAAGTATGCCAGCCAAAGCTACCAGACATGTACAAAGACGCAAGCCTACCCTTATCTCACATCATCTGGTGAAAGCTTCGGAGTTTACAACCTGCTAATAGGTAGTAAGGGAATGTCGTAGTAGAATCTTCTTCCTTTACTTCCTGAGTCTCTAATTCAATTCCAGGTCCGCAGACCAATGATTCACAGCACATTCACCCATAGCGCTATGTCATAGGAAGTGCGTGGTCATACTTTCATTCCAATACAGCTAGCAGTAATAGCTCCTCTTAAAGGCCAATAGGTAGGTTCGCATCATCTGCTTCTGAGACCATTCACTTGCAATGGGAATCTTACTCATGCACTACTGGCTCTTAGTGGTTTGTGAAATGCAACCTCTTTAGTTAGCTTTTGACTTTAGGGCAGAGAGTTGGCTTATGGGTTTGAGTCTTCATCTTTCTTAAGTCATTATCCAGCTAGCTGTGAATTTGATTCTTGATCAGAGTTGCGTGAGTTAGGGCATAGAGCCAGCACGCTCACACGCTCTTTTCCGATAGAGAGGGCTAGTGGTCAGCTAGTTCAAAATGTTTGAATCTCAGCTTCCAAGGTGCCAAGAAGCAAGAAAGAGTTCCATCCAGAGCAAACGTAGGACCCTTAGAAAGGACTAGAACGTTATAGCGCCATAGCCAACGAATCGAATTTAGCTGGTTGTTCCCTTAACGAGAGAAGATACGAGTAAAACTACTACTTAGGGTTCAGATGGGTTCCTTTGTCAAAGTGAATTAAGAAATAGACGCATAATATAATCTGCAAGAAATCGTTCTGCTTCTTTCAAAGAGATAAGCTAACAATTATTTGTCACTCTTAATATTATTGGTTTCAACTCTTTCAAGTAAAATCTTAATATTATTGGTTTCAACTCTTTCAAGTAAAATCTTGAAGTGGGTGGGCGCTTTCCATTTATTCAAAATCTTAAATTATTGAGTAGTGCTTCATATTCACTTATTTATACTCATTTTTCATCTACATCCGATGTGGGGCAAGTCTTATTTGTAACATTCTCTCTCACCAGAATTCGTAACGCCCTCAATGCGGTCGGGCCACCCTGCGGTGGCACTCCCGAACGCCTTTCGGGCTGAACGTTTGGCGTGGCACCGGATTAAAAACTAGGTCTGACTCTAATACCAACTGAAACGGGTGGACGATTTTTCATTTACCAAAAACTTAAACTATTGGATAGTGCTGCATACCCACCCATTTATACTCATTTCACTTTCCAAATCCAATGTAGGATAAGTCTCTCCCCGTAATAGTTGGCCAGATACAAACCCTTGTTATACCACAACCTTTAGTTATACGACCATAGGGAGGTTGTTTGTCTTGAATTATTTTAAAGTTAACAACAAATTTATATATGGTTACTTATCTTGACAACATAATTTCAGTAGTCCTTTCCTTTGCCACCTCAACTTCAATTTGATTTTAAATAAGTGTTGCTTCGAGTGGTAAAAGACCATGTCTTAAGTGACTTCACCCTATGATCTTAGGTTCGAATCTCTTTCTTTTCTAACTTCACTAACTAATAACTCTACTTTCCAGTTGCCAAGTCAAAAAAATAAAAAATAAAAAGCACTGCATTCTATTTATTCTACTTTTTCCCTTCCCATTTACCTAGTAATTGCTATTTATTTCTTATAAATAAAATGGGATATATATAATCCAACGAAGCGATGGGTGTAATTTTGTATTCATTATGATGGTCATTGATAAATGACCCTATTAGGACTTGAATTATCAACTTTCAAGTTTGGATTTTAAAATGTGAGAAAATATTAGTGAGTTACAGCTCTTGGTATAGTAATTAGTAAATGACCTATTAACTCAATGACTAAAGTAGCTAACAACTTGTAGCTTATTGATATATCTTCTACTTCTCACAATTATAGATGAGAGTTCAAGTTCTAGCAAATGAGTTTATAAGTTTTTTGCTACGGAAAAAAAAAATAAAAAAATCTTAGTTGACTAGAGTATTATTTTATAAGGTGAGCTATTGGATCAAATGGATACTTAAAATTATATTTTATTTTTTTAGTCAACAATGGTAGTGTCGGATTTTTTAAAGGAGAAAGTTTACACCATCCCAAGGGTAACATACCCCTCGGAGCCTTTCAGTAATTGGATCATCCATTAGGTGAGTCCCGCTACCATATCCAATGGCTGAAAATCTCAAAAATACGGTATCTCGAACATACAATAATTCACCATCGGACACAGTCACCGGTTGGCACCATCCATGTATCAGATTTTACTTGTATCTGAAATTGAGTATGGGCTTCCCAGTTGTATGCAACTTCCAAAAATGGATCAATTTAAGCAACATTCTCACGAAACCCAATATATACAATAAATCGGCCTTCAGATTAAGCCCACATCCCGCAACTAAGATCTGAACTACAACATGTCGTGTTGTATGGGACGTCAAATAGGTATCCCTTTTGATGCCCGAATCGTCAACCTGAAACCCTTAATCCAAGTGGGCTTAGCCCAGTTGGCCGAAAACCAGTGGACCATTATTCAATCTCAGCCGTTCATTTTTAAAAGCCACATCCAGACCTTCCGAT